CAAAAATTTTAAAGGATAAAAAAAACAAAAACTTGAGTCCCAGTGTTTTCGTTCTGCACCCCAGGGACCATCCTGCCCCACAGGTAAACACTCCAGGAGTTCCTTAGGGATAGAATCTCTATGGACTGTACAAGAAGAAAGGTCTTAGTAGAGAAACTGAGGCTGCGAAGAGGTTTCAGGCACCTGAGACATGTGGCATCAATAGTTCTCATTTTTCCCACTTAAATCACAACAAAGTCAAATAAAATTTAGAATCAATGCACTGTGCTAACCTTTGCCAAAAAAAAAAAACAAACATTTTTGAAACACTGAGGTTATTTTTCTGATATGCCTGTTCTTTGTGAATAGCTGTAATGCCAAGGCATGGTTCCAAATTAGTCACTTACTACAATTTTAAAATACTTCACTCTAATATTTTGCTCCAACAAATTGATTTTACTATATTTCTTCAGCTTTCTCTTACAACAATATCTTCATACGAAGATTCACGGAAGAGTTGAGACTCAAATCTAAAAACAACCCTAGATATTAAGTCTCTTTTAGATATGGAATGTCTGTCCAGCTTCTCCTTTCTATACTATTCCTTTCCTCTTGTCTATGTAATAAACAAATACTTTTAAAAGGGTACAGCACAAAAATACAAATGCCAAGAGAGCAAGAAAGCCGGTCACTCAGACTCATTTGTCCAAAAAGAGATTTCATAAGGGAAGTCTCAGCCCAGTGCCGGCTCTGCCACGGGCTAGGTTAGCTGGCTGCCTCCGGGGGAGCTTTATGCAAGTATACAATTTTGTTTGGGATCAACTAAACTTAGATTGCTCTTGGTTCCTTTAAGAAATTAAAACCAGTAATTGTTCACAGGCAAGAGCTTTAGTCATCTCGATGTTTAAAAACAGGTTTATTACATAAAAGCGGACTAATCCAGACCATCTTAAACATTTCTAGCATAATTCCCCAACATGAATTTCAAGAAGTAACAAGACCAGCCTGTATATCATACTTAAGTAAGCTAGATTTAAAGGATCTCTTCTTTACCCATTACATAACAAGTTATTTTGAGTAACAAAGATTCTTCAAATCCAGCAAATTCTAGGTATTCCATAATAAGCAGCTATCGCTCTGAGTTCCTTCTCTGAGGCTATGGCACCCACCGTTAGTCAATTCTATGATAACCCACCAAATTTACAAATCTGAAGCAATGAAGAAATCTACACTGCCAAGCGCTCCACATGTAGCAGACGTGGCAGACCACGTGACACTACGTCACCCTCCCAGCAATCCTTAAGGTAAACGTTATCATCATCCTTTTATAATAGTTGAGTTCTAAGAAGCTTGGAGAGGTCAAAAAAACTGGCCCAAAGTCTTAAAGCTATTGAAGTGGCACAGGAAGGCCTCACGCCCAGACCAACTCCAAAGTCCAAGTTCCAGCTTCAACACCTGCTCCTCCTCCGACGAGTCCATGACTTCTACTGTCAATTAGACTGAAAACTTGGATTCTTCCTATAGGTCCATCTACAAGAATATTTTTGAGGACGTGTTTAACTGTTTCGGAACCTTGACCATCTCTTATTTACATTACAAAGTCTTTTTTATTATACGTACAGCTGTTATCTAAGTGACACAGCCCACAAGGGACACAGAGGGCCCAAGGACTCTCTAAAATTTCAAGAGTTGCATAAACAGTCAGCACACTGTACGGATTTGATAACTTCAATGCCGATCGGCTACAAAGGTGCTGGACAGACTTCCCACTGTGCAAAGGAGCATGTCTAGTTAACCCCAAAATATCACCAACTGAAAGCAGTGACAGCGCTCAAGCCTTAAATCCTGAAAAATCTGCATGGAAAGCTTGCTGACAATACTTTCATGTCTCAGAAGCTGTTAAAAGAAACACGAAGCCACACTTTAGAAAGCATTTCCTTTCCTTCGGAAATCTTTTTCAAGATACAAGTCTGTCTGTTTAATCTAAAAGGAGAGCCCCGGTTTCAAAAGTTGCTGTTTAATCAGTAGCTGAGTCCCACCGGCTTCAGACTTCCGTGAGGTCCTTTATCTGGAACTGCTAAAAGCTTCCTCTGTACTCTGTGACCTAATACACCACAGAACAATAGAAGTGGTTTCCTTGTCTAACCACTACCCTAATATTAATAAACTGTGGACTCAGAGGAATGCCTCCACACGTACGTCTTGACGTGATCAGAGAATCTTATAAAAAGCACATAAATGTTTCCTAAGAGAAGAATAACCTGATAACTATGATCTGTAGAAAAGAATTTCTTAACTATATCTTAGTTTGGTAATTTAACTGTGTGAGAAAACGGTGGACTTTCTCCCTTTACATAAGCTTCCTAGTGAGGACCAACCAGATCTCAGTCAACACCACTAGGGCCCTTGCGGAAATAGATGCTCAGGAAAAGAGGCTGCCAAAGAGGGCATAAAGGACACCCAGAGAAATAAAGAGAGGCCCGAAATAAAGTTCGACCAAGAAATGCCTTCTTGCCTGATGGGCAAAGGCGATCCACATATTTACATATAGCCTTATTATGCCTGAATGGGTACCTACCTGTTTCAATTCCCAAACCTAGAAATGATTTTGGATGACAGAGAAACCTCGAATAAATGAACTTCGATTTAAATGCTGAATTTTAGTTAAATGCCTCATTTCTTTCCCCATGCAAATGAGCTGACAAAAGATAGAATTCAAGCATTTTTTTTCCAATCTATTTTTGATAAGCCATGCTTTCTCCAAGGCACCAGTGACCAGTCTGAACTTCAAGCGGAAAGATAAGGCCAAGGAGGCAAAAGATTCTAGCCAACCATCTAGCCTCAATTTGACAATGGCTTGCCCCACCTTCGTATGGAGTACAGGCCCCAGATAATTAAAAGCTTGACCATTATTATGTTTTCAACATTCAACTGCTCTTTTACCTACCATGTATTTTCAAAGGGGTTCTTCTTTCTAACCAGCAAGCTCACTTATCAGGTTCAGCTCAAAGGTTTCCTTATTCTCCTTGGTCTAGAATCCTTCTCTGCTACCAGGATTAATAATTTCTTCTGGATGAAAATACAACCTCCTAAATCTATGTGTGACTATGAATCTTTTCTACAGAATTTATCTCCAGGTACCTGTCGTTCATACGCCACTTGTCTAACCAACCATACACCTTCCAAGCTATAGAATATGAAGAGAAAATCTGCCAAAGCTGCTATAAATCACCAAATATTTCTTTATGCTTTATTTATGTCAAGATTTGATATTTCTATTAATGGATTAATTTTCCTGATTGTTTTACAGCACTCCCCCAAAAAAATCTTAGGTTTTATGATTTCTACCTCCATAAAACAGTAAAAGAATGGAATAAAGAAACACGTTAAGAGATTTATAGGCAGGCACATTTCCATAGGTCCCAACAAAGAACCTGTTTTTCAAAACATGTAAAAATTCAATTAAGTGCAAAGTCATCTGGAAACTTCTCGAATCCCTTTCACTCTTTATCCACTATCCTACTCTAGTGCTAATTTTCAACTTCACCATCAATATCAACATCAACACCTTCCCACAGAGGCTTTTAAAACTTCCCAGAAATGTTCTGTGATTCTTACCTGGGCTGCCTACACACTTCTAGTAACATTCACTGTTCTTATCTATCGGATCCTTAAATAGAATTCAAATATTTGAATTCTTACAAATATTTGATTTAAGGCAGTGGCAAAATTTAGCAATACATTATATGGTATAGTGATAACAGTTCATACTCAACTAAAGGGCACTCAATGACATAACATGGTGTAGCTCTGGTAATAATTATATACAGCTTTCCTTGTAGATGTGTTTGAAAAATGTCTTTACTGGGGACAGTAACTTCTACATTCTGTACCTAATCAACAGTGTTCTAAAATAATTCTTGACCTCGAGAGTATTCCTAAATAGTTACAAGACTTGAATCACACAATCTAAAACCTGGGTTTTAGTTATGACTCTGCCTACAATTCACTTCACTTGTGTCACCTTGGGTAGGTCATTTCCACTCAGGGTATCAATGTGTTCAACGGCAAAACGAAGAAATTAGATTAGATTTTAAAGGTCTATTCCAACTCTAAAATTCTATGACTCTATGAAATTTCAGTCTCTCCTCATTTCAAAGCAACAGATGATCATGGCAAATTAGCCTAATTATCTTTTCCTCAAAAAAAAAAAAAAAAACCCAACTCGAGATGCTTTCTTGAGTTGAAGTTTTATCTAGGAAAATATACCGCAAATGAAAACATCGATAAAATATAAAGAAAAAAAAGAAAAAGAAAAATCACGCACCGCCGTAGCTAAAAAAGAAACTTCAATCACCCTGGGGCCATTTTGTCAATAGTTATTCAAAGGCTGCTACTCTGATCGCTGGCTTCCAAAAATAGAAATATTTATGAAATTGTTTCCTTCTCATCCCCAGAGATTCGATACGAATAAAAAGCACACACAGCATCTAAAATCAATTTACAACTTCAGAACCAGTTGCAGGGAGAGAAGGAAACTTCACACAGCTCTCCAAGTCATTTGCATTTAAGTATGATTACAGCTAAGAAACGGTTCTTATTATAAGATACGAGAAGCTCACAGGAGGCAGGTGACATCTGGGAAGGGAAGCAGAACTGCCAGGAAGGGATGTAGGCTGAGGACCTCAAGGCAACAGGTCCACAGCCAGTACCGCAGTCCACCCCGGGAGGGGTCGGTCACTGCCACCCGGCTCGCTGCCCTCCCCGGCCCCAACCGCATCGCCTCGCCCCAGCTTCGGCCCTGGAGAGGCAGCCCGCACCCCGCACCCCGCCCGCGCCGCACGCCCCTGCGGCAGAAACCTCCCGAATCGCTTGCTTCCACGGGCCCCCGCCTCGGCGGGCTCTCCAATTCCTCGGCGCCGAGGCCGGACCGGGCCCGATGCCTCCTTCCCGGCCCCCCGGGTCGCAGCGGTCCCGCAGTCCGATTCCCGCAGCCCCGTCCCCGCCGCGGGCCCGCTCACCTGCACCTGTTTGCGGAAGTGGCGCGGCCCCGGTACTGCCAGCGGCCAAGAGCAGCAGCAGCAGCAACGCGGGTGGCCCCGGCATCTCGCCCACGGCACGACCCGGGAGCCGGCTCTCGGGGCGCCCTCGGTCCGTCCGTCCGTCAGTCGCTGCCGCCTCCCTACGCTGCTTCAGCGGCACTCGCGCCGGCTGCTCCTGGTCACACGTCGCTTTGACCAAACCTCAGCCCGGCTCCTGGTCCGCACCCGCCGCTCCGGCCACAGAAGCACCATCCTTCCCTCCCTCCCGCCTGCCTGCGCCGCCGCCGCCGCTTCTCAACAGCAGCAACGGCAGCAGCCCTGCGGAACCGCGGGCCCGGGCAGCCGCGCTCCGGCCGCCATGATGGGCTGCGTCATGTGACGTAGAGCGGGGGCGGGAGGCCGTGATGGACAGCCCAGCCAGCCAATCGTCAGTTCCATAGGGCGCGGGCGGCCCCGCCCATCATCCTGGAGGAGGGAGGGCGCCCCCTGCAGACGGAGGAGTGCGTGGGCTGCAGGTAATACGGGCAATTATTTTAATTTTAAAAATACAGGGAAGTACAAAGAAGACAATAAAAAACATCCAGAATCCATCCTGATTTTTTTCTCAATATTGTAAAACATGTAAACATAGGCCACTTTCGTATTCTGCCTTTTTTACTTGTCAGAGCCATTTTCAGCTCTTCTCCTTAGGTTAACCTACACATCCTATCAGCCACCAAGGAGCTTTGGCTTTTTCACTTCAACAAGTGTAAAATGCCTCTCCTCTCACACTCATTCAGCTCCCTTTGCCAAGAGTGCCCTTCCTGTCGTCTCTTGGCCACCTGACACACTTCCTTTCATCTGTCCAGACGCACCTGAAGAATGACGTCATCTAAGAAGGCTGCTCCCCAAAGCCAGGAAAAATGACTAACATCTCCTAATGCCCCGCCACAGCCCTGGACAGACTGCTCTCCCAGATGCCGAATTTTATTGTTCCTGTGACTGTAAGCGCCCTGTGGACAAGAACTGTGCCCCTGTCAGCTGGGGTTTCAAGGGGGCTGGCTCTGATTAGGCGTTCTCTAAAGGGAGGTGACTAGGGGAACAGCTCCCAGCTGCTGACATCTCCCTACCAAGAGACAAGGCCCAGCCAATAGGCGGAAAGGGTAGAGAAAGCCCTTTATAGGCAGAAGTAACAGTGATCAGAAGCCTGGAGGCTGGGAAAATGCTGGGCTTTTCTGGAGAATGCACTCGTAGTCCAGCTTGTGCATGAGAGGAACTGATCTGAATCTCATCAGGTGGGGCTCCACCAACTGGCAGCAAGGAGGCCTCTCTAGTTCCCCAGACTCCTCGAATGCCCATCCTAAATGCCAGCGCTCTGTAGTGCTAACCCAGCACTGGACACACAGAATGTGTGCCCAGGGAATATTTGCTCAATGATTAAGGCAAGCCAACAAACACCTAAGTAAACAAATAGCTGGAATGTGAAATGCTGAGTTAAAGCTTCCATGGCTGTCTGCTGATCTCTGCATGAGAAAGGGAAGGAAGGCAAAGGTCTAGAAAAGAGACACGGTCACCCTGTTATGCTTCTACATCCATGGCGGGGCTCCAGACTTTGAGAAAGCAGGGGAATGCTCATGCTGTGTACTGGGAGGCGTCACTGTGTTTGTTTGCAGAAGTTCTGGCCCAGCCAAGGCCCTGCCTCATAATCCTTGTGGTTGTTCATCATAATTAAAGTGTACCCGACAATGACAAGTCATACCACAATCCCAAAGCAGGTTTCGTTGTTATTTGAGCAAGCCCAAAAGCTTAAGAGGAAAAAAAAAAAAAACACGACCTTTTTTTTCCACTTCACAGAACAAGGGTTAAGGTACACAACCCCAGAAGATATCCATGGCGGCTTTTCCCCCACCACCCACCTGACCACTCACACCTTTGCCCGGTGCTTCTTTTGAAGACTTCTGGAATTTATAAAACAAATGAAAACCTGTCTGCTTTGTCTAGTTTCACCCAGGAATCCGAAAACGGCCTTTGGCACAAATTTGGGATTAAATCCCAAATTGTAAGGGTACGAGGTATTTTACATTTCACTGTTATGTATACTCTGAGGTTATTTACATCTACTGTAGCTAAGAGTGGAAATACTGTATTGTACTGGACTACTGCACACCTCTTCCCATCTCCGACCTCAGTGACCTCACGTCTGTAGCTTGAAACAAGCCACGGTGTGAGCAGTTACACCATGGACATTGGCAGACAGTACAAATCAGGGTTCTCAACGTCGCAGAGAGCGGCTGGTTGTGCACATCAGCGGTCTTGCCTTAGGGTGCCCTTCATGGGTCTTGACGATTGCCCCTGGCTGACTGGAATCCTTTTGTGGCTACATTATTTCAGCCTCAGGCAAATAAGGGAGACCAGGTGGATTGAGAGTCAGCCTCTCTCTCTAGTTCTCTGCCAATCAAAGGCCCCATACCTCATCCCCTACACTTCCTCTAAATGCCTTTGTATAAAGTCCTCACCTTTTGTTGCCTTCTAGATCCTCTGTCTAAAACTGAGCCAACGACTCACCAGGTGCATTCCCCTTTCTGAGCCCTGAGCCTGGACAAGGGGTGGGGGCGGAGGGGGAGTGCCCATACCCAACATGGTAAAAACGAAGGAACGAATGAATAGAAATAAGAAATGCTGGAGCGAGGCTCAAGTATACGCTAAAGTTTAAGCCTAACATGTTAACACTTTTGTTATACTACATAATTCATCATGTAATATAACGATGCTATCCACAAGATAATTACAGGATTTATACAAAGTACGCGATGAACAGCGAGATCCAGCCGTGGCATAGCACTTGAAAATTGTACCATGAACATATTTCTTCCAAGCTTATCCGTTCGTATGCCTTCATTTAGAGGTGAGTTTCATTTGACATTGACTTACAAATCGCTTTCTGTGTGTCAGGCACACTCCTCTAAGCACTTTATGAGTAATAACTCTTTAAACTTTACCCAATTTTAGAATATTTTCATCACTCCTAAAAGAAAATCTGCACCATTAGCCGTCGCTCCACCCCCCCCTCCCCCAGCCCCTGTCCCCACTAATTTTTTCGTCTCTATGGATTTACCTAATCTGGACATTTCCTATAAATGGAATCATGCAATATGTGGCTTTTTGTGACTGGCTTTAGCTAGTGTTCCCATTTCAGATGAGGAAACCGAGAAACAGCAGGGTTAAGTCCTTCGGCCAAGGTCACCTGGCAGAGGCGGGATCCAAACCCAGGCAGGCAGGCTCCTGAGTCCTTGCTAAGTCTCAATATCAAAATCGGATACTGTCTAAGTACGCGTGGAGGCCTCGTGTGACTGCGAGGTGCGAGGTGCGAGGTGCAGGCCGCAATGCCCGCCCCGCCTGGGGTTCCGTCTCATGGGGAGCGGCGGGGGAGCAGGAGGGAGCAGGTGGAGAGGTGAGCAGCGCCCTGTGGGCAGCAGTCGCTGGACAAAATGCGTTTTTCCACGGTGAAGGCGGAATCTCCCAGAACGAACACTGCATGTACGGCCTGCCCAGCAGCGGGATCCCTTCCCATGTGAGAGCCCCACGACATGAACCTTGATCAAAGGAAGGTCACCTCCCACTGTGAAGACGAGCCTCCTGGGGCCCCAGTGCCTCGGTGGCGCCGGCAGCCGTGTCATCCCAGCACACAGTTCCCAACCAAGGTGGGACCTGGTGACCTCCCCACTGCCCAGCCCCGTCAGTGGCCACTTATGTCCTGAGCCCAAGTCCCCAGCTCTTCGGTGGCTGTCCACGGCTCCCCAGCCACTTCTCGACCTTGCTCAGCCTCTAGTGGGTCAGAAGATTCTCACGACCAACTCGGCTACCTCGAGCTTCTGCAATGACCTTTGGCCACTCCTAGCGAGACGGCCAGCGCTGCGGGGGCTGCTCCTGAACCAGACCGTCAGGCAATCCTCAAGCATCGACCACACGTCGTCGTCGGTCACTACGCTGGACACTGAGATGCCACGATAGATGAGACAGCTGTGGTGCTTGCCCTCCTGGAGCTTGTCGCTGTCAGGTTCAGAAATCGCACGGCGATGTACTGTTCTGACAGTGTGAGGTTGCAAAGACCATGAAGACACATATGCGACACAGCCTGACCCAGCCCTGGGGGGTCAGGAAGGCTCCGCTGAGGAGGTGACACTTGGCGGCACTCCTAAGGACGAACAGGATGGGGGACCTCATGTTCTTGGGGGAGATAGGGTCCCGGATGAAGGAAGGAGGGCGAGTTTAAATGTTTTATCTCTGTCATGTCAAAGCGGGGGCTGTCACTCTCTGATAGAAGGACCTGGGACAGGTAAGTTTTGAAGGAGAAAGGGAAGAAGCTGGTGTAGGTGGTGGAATTGCGGGGGGGGTGGCACAGGAGGATGATGGGCTCAGGCCCCAAGTGTGGTGCAGACGCAGGACTTGGGGTGGGGGCGGTGACACAGGAGGACGGCTGGGTCAAGCCCAGAGTCCTCCCATTCCTCCCCTAGGGAGCTGGGGGAGGGGAGCTTCACTGCCATTTCTGGCAGCAGGGCAATTTTGCGCACTTCACACAGTGACACTTTCCTGCAGACTGTCACTTCCTTGCCTCTGCATATGTGCCTTTCACTGGAGTAAGGCTGGCTGCTCCTCAAACACACCCCGAAGCTCCCTCCTCAGGGTCCCCTGCGAGGACTGGACCCTTTGCCTGAACACCCCTCCCCACATCTCCACTTGTCAGCTCCTTTGGGTTGGAATATCCCCAGAGGGGCCTCCCTGGCCACCGCGTCTGTCCCTGTCTGACCATACTCAATGTCATTATCCCTCAGAGCACTTTTCTCTCTCTGCCTATGCCTTCCATTAGAACGAGATCCCTTGAGGGGAACCCTGCCTGGGAGCTCCCGGCCACGTCCCCACTGCTGGAGGGTGCCAGCGCCCTCAGGATCTTAGGCAGCCACTGGTGAGAGGCTGTGAGTTCATGGCGTGCCAGGACCCCGGGGGGCTGATACCTCTGTCCGGCCGATGCCCATGTGTCCGCTGATGCCCGTGTGTCCAGCTGATGTCACCCCTCACAGTTTGCAGCATGGGTCTAGGGCAGGACATGTGCTCTAGTCACATCCCCTCACTAATTCGACAATGATTTCAATAGACATAGGACGTAGCTGTGATGTGTCAGGACACGTCCCAGGCGCTAGAGTGAACAAGAACATGAGTCCCTGCTCTTGGGGAGGTGGCATTCTAGGACAGGGAGAGCCAAGAATGCTTTGGAAAGTCCCACCTGACTCAGCATCCCTGCCAGTCACGGGACCCTCACCCCAAGCCCATAAAACCGAGGCCGACTTACAGGGTAACCTCCTGTGTCGGCCCCTGCAGGCCAACAGGCACAGGTTGGGC